AAAAAGCCTTAAATTTTACTTTAAAAAGTGTGCAGGAACCCTGTGATGAATTCACGGCGCTAGCTTGATCAACATCAGCGAATGCTGTCTGTCAAATTAATTCACTAACAATAAAAGTGTAATATGAACAAAACGAATACCATAAACTTCAAATAATTGCCCAAGCTTTTATTTTCCCATATCGTCAAAATGCACCAGCTTGTTTTTGAGACAGGTGTCTATGAGGCAGTCTTCATCATTTAGTGTTGAGATGTTGTTCATTGAGTCTCTGATCTCTAAAAATCTCCAAATGCTCCACGTGAAACTGCGGTCTTCCAACCGTTTACTACCATGTCAAATGATTTGAATAACATGCGCGATGGTAGGAGCACAACTCATTTTCTGGAGGTATACTGCCCCCATCTGTTATGGAATATGGAGTAGGATTTGATTTATTATGTTAGATGGCACCTTTAAACCACATTTAGCATAATTGTTTGTTTGATCTGACTACAGCACTTTAAAGCTAAATGTAAAAGCTTTTAATTTAAGTTTTATTTTAAACTTGAATTAAATGTATTTAAAAGCTGGCCAAAGCTTGGCACTTCACACTTTTTAGTTGCAAATTTTTTTATTTTTGTATGAAGACATACAGTAATATCAAACTTTTCTTTTAAATTATGTCTACTGCAATCAATCACATAGGAAAAAGTAAACTACATTTATATAGACCTGCGAATCGTTTTTTTGAATCGAAAATTGATTTTGAATCGAATCTCAAGACAAAAAAATCGGTATCGAATCGTGACATTTTCTGAATCGTGCACCCCTAAGGAGGACGATAAATGAGGATGCAAAAGAACGGCTTTATCCGGCCGATTCTAGTGATTTGCAGTTCAAAAGAAGAGAAAGTTTCCACGCTCACCGGCTGACAGGAATAGTTATTTCTCCATACTATGGCAAGTCCTCCACCGCGGCCAGACAGACGCGGGGATCCAGTAAACGAGCAGCCAATGGGACACAGCTCATTTAAGTGAATAAATTATGAATTACGTTGCCAGGTTTCTGTCAGTAATAGAAAGTCCAAGTTTTGCCTCACGAACAGATCGTTCAGAATGTGCGCCTTGTTCGCCACAGAACGGGCATTTAACAAGCACACATTCACAAAAGAAATAACTGAGTCTTCAGAGGTTGAGGAAGATGTACATTCAATTAGGGCTGCAGCTATCGATTCTTTTTGTAATCGATTAATCTAGCACTTAATCGATCGATTAATCGAGTAATCGGATAATTTGTTTATGTGTGTTTTTAAGCGACCAAAACAAATAATGTATTACGAAAATGATAAGGTGTTTGGCTTTTATTTTTTTTTTAAAAAATAGAGGTATTTATTCCAACTGCAACATTTTGGCTCCACAACTAATTATTGCAATTTTTACCCATTTAGTTTTTATAAGTGCCAGTGCCAACAATTATATAACAATACAGTTAAAACAATTGACTGTAAAACCTGTTACATGTAGCCCATAACATGTAAAACTTTGAATACAAACTTAAATAGTAAAGCCCATTTGGCCTTAGTTTTGTCTTCTTAATACAACATTACAAAAAAAGGCTTTGCACCTTCTGCAAATTACCCACCTGGAAACAAAAATAAATTAATATAAAACATCAACCCAAACAGGTACACAAATGTGTATAAATTATAAAAAATAAATAAATGGAAATAAAACAATTATAAATAAGAATCAGACTTTTTCAACTGTAATCTCAAGACAAACATCAGAGTGTGTGTGTCTGTTTGTCTCACAATATTTGTTCCTCCATCACGTCCCGGTGAATGTGTGCTGAAATTTTTGTTGCGTGGCTACATAAAAGTTTAAGCATATGGCGCGTGAGAGAGACATGGGTGCACGCGCTTGCTTACCTCTCTGCCGTCGTGCGCGAGCCGCGGTTAGGAGCTCAACATCTCGCATGCGCGCTCGCACTAGATTACAGGATATTTTAACTTGCGAATTAATATGCGGCGGTAAAACTAGTCGATCAGGAGTGGCTCAACAGGTAGATAGACGAACTCATCTTTCAGGCATTTGACCGAAGGGATTGACACTTCAGCGTGTGAGAGTCTCACACTGAATGCGTGAGAGTTGGCAGCCCTGCCAGGTATACTTTGCCAGTCCCTCCAGAAAAACGCGATTATGCGATCGCTGAATTCAATGCAAAACCAGCCAAAGTCCGCATATTTATGCGGGGGACGCATTTTTTCAAATACGCCGCACTTTCGCCGCATAAATTGCCGATTTCCGTGCAAAATATGCGGGGTTTGCATAATTTCATAATCCTCGCATTTTCGTTGCAAAAAAAAGTCACATGTATTTTAGCAGAAAGTTAAAAAATGTTGCGTTTGCTTCACACAAGAGCAGCCATTTCCCCCTGTTTCCATGGGAACGTTATGAAGTGACGCAATTACGCGACGCCTCACGGAGGCGATTGACATCTCACAAATCGAACTCGTATAACTGTCTGTCACACGTTCTACCGTCACATCGTTACTTAATAAACAACATAAGATAAAAGAAGTAGCATCAAACAGAAATTACCCGCACACATGGGGTGTTCGAGGCGCACATATAACACTGCAGAGAGTTCAACAGGGAGCGCGCAGCTCTTAAAGGGGCCACACCTTATTTACACTCGTTACAGTCTGAAATAAAACAAGATGAGTAATTAAATATTCCCAGCACTTTCTATGATGTAGTATGCTTGTTTATCAAAGGAAATAATAAGAAATGACTCTTACATTAACAGGATGTTGGGGGAATCACTTTTTTTTTCTCTTTTTCATCAAACCGCAATTTTTGCAAGTTCCCTCAATTTTTGCAAATTCCTGCAATTTCATCGCATAAAATTGCATAAATAATATCCCACATATTCCATCGCATTTTTAAAGAAAACGGGCCGCATAATCAATCAATTTTTGCCCGCAACAATCACACAAAAAAATAAATAAACTATTAAATATAAATCGCAAATTTTTTCACAAATTTTTGGAAATTACTACCACAAAATCAGTCATTTTGATCGCAAAAATCACAAAAAAAAAATCGTGAAATCCTGGAGGGACTGCTTTGCAGACACATTGCATCTTGCCCTTTATAAACATATAATGATCCCAAACTTTAGACATTCTCTGCCATTTATGAAGTCAAATGTATCATGCGCTATGGTGTGCTTCCTGAATAACGGTCCGTGTGAAACAATCAGATCCCTGCGTGCGCATAAAGTGCGCGTCATAGGAATTTAACGAGGCTTCGAGGCAGATTTTTTGCCTCGAAGAATTTTTGTAATCGAGTAACTCGAGTAACTCGAGGAATCGTTTCAGCCCTACATTCAATAATCCTAAGCGTTGGCTGGCCAAGGTGGAAAGGAGGTGGATCCCTATGCAGCGCTCCACCGGGCGCATCCGGAAACACTGCCCGCAGGTAAAATGCTCTGACGGGGATCCGGGGACAGTCAATGCCTGGTTGGTAGAAGAATTGAGGATTACGATCCATAAGCAGACAGTCCGTCCGGTTGCCAACAAGGGAGTATTTCCATAGTCTGTGATTCTTGGCCTGGAAGCCCGCTCTGATCCCTCGTCTGCTCTGTTTACCACACTTCTTGGGCAGGTGCGCAGGCTTTCTTCTCCAGTCGCGGTACAGCGAGAGATCGTGACCCGGCAAGCCCAGGCGAATACAGGGTGGTATTGGAGGTGGATCACCAATACCCATATAACCGGACATTTCAGCTCTAATAAGCAACAGCAATTGCCGATCATAAACCAGGGCGGCTGATACATGTGTGGACAACAATAGTGGCATTAAAAGGCATATGTGACCAGGAGACATAAAATACAGAGAAAGATGTGGCAAAGCCGAACACAGGTGCCATCGTCACGTAACGTAACCTGTGTGTGTGTTAGAGATACGCGGGTGCGATCGAACAGTGGAGTCATGAAAAACATCCGTCATTTTGTTCATACAGGACATTGTATTTGTGTAGGCCTATACTCGCATTAAAACACAGTTTTAAAAGCAAAACATATTTATCCAACCCCTGTCTGTGTGTTGTAACGTCTGTCAGAGTTTGAGGTCTGCCCAGATGAAGAATAGGAAAGACGAGCCCTGTTCCACGAGTCCTTTTATAGTTTTCTTTTTTTCTTAGTTTCTTTCAGTTAAGCACACTCTTCACATACATGTCGAAAGAGCGATACCTGTTAACAGGTTAAAGAAAACACTCTGTAAAACGCTACAAATCAAAGTGGAAGTAAATGCATTATAGTAAAACAAACCCGCGATAGATCGGTCATCTTCCTCTTTGCGCGAGCATTCTCACTCTCACTGAACGTGCGTGCTCACATTACGCATGCAATAACGAACGCCATAGAAGAAGTCATCTTAAAGGCATATCAACATGTCATGAACACTACTGAACACTAGGTGGCCGTTACAGAGTTCCATCTTTTGGACATTCATCATACCGCATTGGTTTTCATTTCTTGTCCTCAAAACAGGGCACTAATCTGTTTATTTTTAAGTGTTTGTAGTATTATTTTATACGGAAATCAATTTTTTTAACAATTAACAAACTAATTATATGAAACTATTATCAGTACACTATAAATAAACTGGTTCTATGCCTTTATTAGTAAATTAAATCTAAGCCTTTATTAATATACTTTATTATTTTTAAGACATTTATAAAAATGTCTTCTATATTTCTTTTCACTCCACTGTACTCCACAGGCGACCGCACGTACGGAATTGACAATTGGTTATTGTCATTTCACCATATTTTTGAACAGACAATGTGTTTACTTGGAAATATTACTGTATATTTTCCTTTTAATTTATATTTCCATCGTAAGTTTGGTTTTAAATTTAATTTAGAAGTGGTATTAAAAAGTCTTAAAATTAAATTGTTTATACCTGTAGCCACCCTGAGTACTGTATGTAATTAATCTCTGGCTTCTCTGTTTACAGATGTACCAGAATCTGAAAGATAAACTATCAGAATATCACAGACTGGTGGATCAGAGCAGCAGACACAGACTTATGGCCCGTTAACCACCGCTCACAGTCTCCTTAGTATGAGTAATGTAGATGAAAATGAAGTTTGGTTGTGGCGTGTAGACGTTTGATGTCCCATGCTAACAATGTATGGAAAACTTATTAACTCCATCAATGATTTGATGTCAGTTCAGTCTCTTGATAAGATAAAATGTGTATTTTTATAAAGACACTGTTAAAAACATCTTAATCTTTGTATGTTGTTCTCTTGATTTAACTGGTGTGATTTGAATTAGCAATGCAATAAAACAGTTTTGTTTAAGATGTGTAATGTCTTTACTTACTTCATTACTTTTTTTTCAGTCCAAAGAGAGCCTATTTTGAAAACAAGCTATTAAAACCACTCATTGAATATAAATATATAAAATGTATGGGTCTAAATGTACACAAAAATGATAGTTTAATTAATACATCCCTCTGTTTGAAGTCACTGTTCAGTATTTTCTGGTTTTGCTGGGAAAAAGAAACCTTTTTATTATTATTATTATTATTATTAACAGTGGTATACTGAACAAATTATGCATGTCTTTCATTTTTAATTTGAAGTTAATATTCCTGCAGCCGGCAGCAACACTAATTGTAATTGGGGGAAGAGATTAGAATCATTGCACTCACTTTAATTTTGACTTCTCTGTGCATGCTCTTTGATGTGGACCCCCATACCTGCGTTATGACTGACAGACAAGAACGGTTTGACCGAAAAATGTCAGAATTGAAAATACTGTGGAAACAAATACACCTACATCTTGGTGAGGTAAGCTAAAACATATCAAAAATGAATTTCAAAGTGAACTATCCCTTTAAGTTTCAAGTGTGTCGTCTGTACTCTGTACAGTGCTGCTTCAAGTCAATCACTGTATACTGAATGCTTTCGAATCAGTACTGTGATGTCATGCACCAATCGTCTGTACTCTGTACCAGGTGCGGATTTAGATTGACAGGTGGCACACCCAAACAGATTAATGGGCTATATGCACACATAAGTTCCGCATTTGACGCAAGGATGCTCTTCCATTTCCGGTAGTAGAGATTAAAGCGGAGGAAAACCGAGGAAAACGGGATTATGGCAGAGTCTTCAAAATTTACTGTCCTCCCGTCTTTGAAACGAAACGTACAAACGTTTAGATGTTTATTTAATATAATTTTAAAAAGAAGCATAAACACAACAAGTGGTGGCGGTTTTTATCACAAAAACTGTGACTAACGTTTCTTTAGTATAACCATGGAGTATAAAATTCAATGTAAATTCTCGTTATTGCATTGGACTCTACGATCGGCGGAAGTTATCGAGCATCCTTAAACCTTCACCGGAAATAATAAAGCAGAGTTTAGTTTCCAATATGAGCTATAAGTTCTTGAGTAAGATGGGTTATCAAAAGAGGGAAAAATAGACTTATGATCGGACAGTGGAGAAGGCAAAATTTCAACCTTGACGTAATCAGATATCAGAGAGTCAGATATCAACCAGAAGTCAATCCAAGACCTCAAAGAACCAGAACTGTTAGTCCAGGTAAATTGTGAAGCATGAGGATGTTTTTCCCTCCAAATGTCAATCAAACCAAAACGTGAAATCAGTTCACAGAGGCCTGGTGATCCATTAGATAATCTAGGTAGTCATCTATCCAACAAACTGTTTATAGTTGGGTTAAAGTCTCCACCCAAAATAATAAACAAATTAGAATATTTAGATTTAAAATAGTCTAAATGTGTTTCTATTGTATTAAACAATTTTAAGTTATTTTTTGGAGTGTTAAATCCATAAATGTTACCCAGGACAAAGATACAATCATTTAAAGTAACTAATAAAAAAAGAAAATGAAGCACTGGACAGAGTACAGAAGATTGGTGTATGACATCACAGTACTGATTCGAAAGCAAACAGCATAGAATGGTCGACTTGAAGCAGCACTGTACCGAGCAGTGGCGGATGCATAACATGACAGATGGGTGGGCCTGTATTAAGTCGAGGTGGGCCAGAATCGAGGGTTTCTAGATTTTGTATTAGCTTGCCTTTACTATTAGATAGGCTATATTTATGAAGATGAGAAATAAAAACTGCACTGTACAGCTATGATCAGCTATTCTGTCGAGCTTTCGAAGTTGTTACTGAAAGGCCGAAGCTGATCAGTTGGTTTTTGTCACATGACGTGCGGTGTGCTTGCGGCACTCTCTGAAAAGTTGAGATGTTTTCATCTCGCCGCGGCATATATGCGCGCCTGGACAATCGAGCGATTGGCTTTATGCCCAGCTGCACTACTTCCTGAACTTCAGCCAGCTCCTTGTTTCCTGTCTGCCATTATTGGTCAAATTGATTAATTCAGGTGTGCTTGACCTCAGTAGTCATGGCAACAATAATCAGACACACCTGAATTAATCAATTTGGCCAATAATGGCAGACAGGAAACAAGGAGCTGGCTGAAGTTCAGGAAGTAGTGCAGCTGGGCATAAAGCCAATTGATACAACAAACAAAAAGTCCTTTTTAAACACCCCTTAAACCACAGAGCAAATAAATAAGCCACAGCTTGTTTTTGTGTTTTAACTTAAATCCAGACTGTCACACACTATATTTCACACACTGGTTGGCGAAAAATCTGCAAAAACCACTATCAGTCTAAATAAGGTGTGGCCCCTTTAAGAGCTGCGCGCGCCCTCTTTAACCGTCTGCACTCTCTCAGGATGCTAATCTAACAGTGTAGTTCGACTTTTTCAGTTTTCCTACACATTCACAGGGAACTACGATATAACTAAACATTCAATTACCATACCTCTCAATCTACAGATTCCAGCGTTTTTATCGTTGTATTTGTTGCTGTTGTAACATGTGACCGTCCTCCTGATTCACGGAGCAGGAGCAGCCAGCGCGCGGCCGCGCGCATCTCATTAGTAACTTGACCTGCATGGCCAAACGTCCGCATGTGTGAATATGACAAATATTATTTCCAGAGCTTTCAATCATTTTTTCATGTATTCTTCGGATGTTCATGCCTATTCCACCAGGCGTTGTAAAGATTTGTATCTTGCCTTTTGTAGAACTACAGCTAATCAATCTACACTGAAATACAGAGGGAATTCCCTCTGGAATCATTTGGACCCTGTTTTAAAGACTAAAATCACTATAAACACTTTTAAAAGAGAGCTGAAAAAAAATGTTAACATATAATTAAGTTTATTTTGTTAATTTGTTGTATTGACATGATTGATGTATTGATTGTATTGTCTTGCTTGATCATGTCATTTTATGTCCATTTTAATTAGATTTTGGGGAAGTGGTTTTATAAGACCTCATGGTCTTCTCACTTTCTCCCGCACAGTTTTGTTGTTGTTTTTTCGTTAATGGATTTGTAAAGTTGTATTTTAAATGTTATATTTGGAAATAAAATCTAAAAGCTCGCGTTCTTAACGTGCGCTTTGTGGTCACGGAAAATGCGCATGAGGAACTCCCGTTTTGCAGCAAAACATGCGTCCTCGACGTGTGATCTGCTATTTAAACGAGATTGTTTCTGTCTGCAGGTGTTTTATGCCTCAGAAGTGTTTTTGTAACAAGAAAATAAAAACAACTCTCGGCTTCACGTTCACTGTTGTTTTTTTTTTGTTTTTTTTTTTTTTAATTATTATTATTATTTCAGCACCTTGGACAGTCCCTAATCCCTTGTTCGAGACATATATCGCAAATTTTCCAGTTGTATTTCCAGTAACACTTTACAATAAGGTTTCATACATTATTTATTTAAAAAAAATGGCTTATGTCGTTTTAGTTTATTGTTCATTATTAGTTTCATAGGTTGTTAAACCTAAGACGAACTCTTTCATATTGCGCTGCATTACTGTCAGTGTTGTTGACGGTATTACTGATGGTAAGGTTGCACTGTTGACGCCTCGCGCAGCCTCTCGAGCAGAAATCTACACAATGAGCGCAGCACACACACACACAAACACACTCAGTTAACAACATACATACTGACAATAAAAATCTAAATGTGGAGTTTTATATTTTTAGCATTTGTTAAGCAACATCATCTATTTTTCATGAACACCATTCTTGAAATAATCAGCCGTTTGAAAGAATAGTTTGAATGAATTAATCAATGTCTCACTCATCAAGACGGTCGCCTGCCAGTCTGCCACCACCTACTGGCGGTTTAGTGTTGAATGTTTAGCATCATTCTTTCCAACGTTTCTTATATGTAAATTAAAATCAATTTCATAACATTAGGCTATTTTATGCAATTGTATTTTTTTTTTGTGTGTAAATGATTTAATTTGATCAACCCCTAGGTTAACAGCCATATAGTGTCTTATTATTCGAAATAATTGAGTTTATTGATCGAATTTAGGAATTTAAAATGAAAGATGAAGCATACATTTAATAATATTGGGGGATGGATGCCCTTTAACGGTGCAGAAATTACAATATGGTGATTTAAATATCAAAGCTGATTGATCACATCATAAACCAATCGTCTGTACTCTGTACTGAGCTGCTTCATGTCAATCACTGTATGCTGTATGCTTTCGAATCAGTACTGTGACGTCATACACCAATCGTCTGTACAGGCGCGGATTTATGGGCGGCCAGATTGACAGGTGGCACACCGAAACAGATTAATAAAAACAATTTAAATTTTTAATTTTCATAATAATAATGAATTAAGTTTGGCCATACGGCCCGCCCAACACTTTATATGATATGACAAGCGCTGAGCGCGTCCATCTCTGGCTCAGCGCCAGCGAGCGCACAGTTTGAATCTGGCAGTGATGTCATGTCACTGTACATATTTTGTCCAGACTTCGACACCCTTGCGAGGAGAGTTGACGAGGCTCATTGTTCACATGAACATCATGACTTGGTAAGACAAAGAATAGGGCCCGTTCACAGATCGCCTCTTTTGCGCACTCAAGTTTGTCATTTCAAATGTACGTTCTGATAATGGAAGCAACGTTGTCGCGACAGACGCGGTCAGGCGTCTGATTGACTCGTCAAACGCGTGCGTTTCGACAGCCAAGGGACGCGCGATTTGCCATAAAATATAACATCTTGACGACATTTATAAAATATAACATCGTGACCAATGTTAACATATATTGCATACATATTTTTATGTATAAGTATGTGTGAATATGACAAATATTATTTCCAGAGCTTTCAATCATTTTTTCATGTATTCTTCGGATGTTCATGCCTATTCCACTAGGCGTTGTAAAGATTTGTATCTTGCCTTTTGTAGAACTACAGCTAATCAATCTACACTGAAATACAGAGG